GCATTGGCCTTTTTGTCCAGGAGCTCTCGTAAATCGCGTGCAGTATCGGTGGCTGCTCTATCGCGGCCATGAGGTGGTTGGTCCGGTTGAGTAGCCGTATTGTTTTTGGGCCGAACGGGTGCTGCGGCTTCATCGTCAAATTCGGGTAGCAGTTTGCGCTTTGGGTAGCTCTTTGTGTGGCGATTATAGCCACGTTTCCCTTCGGTGTCCAGCACCTTATTCCATCTTCGGTTGAGCGTGTCCTGCGCGGCCTTAAGCCTTTGCTTCTGCTTCTTCAGGCTCCATGCTGTGGCCAGGAGTTTTCTGCGGAGGTTATCTTGTTCCGAATGTTCTTCCGGGATGATGAACGCATCGTCGACCGGACTGTTCTCTTCTTTGGAGGTAGCCGGATGAGTTTTGCCCTTTGAATTTATGTGATTGGGCGTCTGCTTCGGGTTGTGTTCGGCATGACCTGGTTTGTCTTGCTCCATTGCTGGGTCCCTATGGTCGTTGTTGCCTTCGGAATCAACCGAAGTGTCATCCTGCTTTGGGTTGTTATCGCTATTTTTACTGTGACTAGACCTGAGGCGGCGCTTACGCCGTCGTTTTTGCTTTGGCCCGGGGGGTTCACTTTTCCATCCTTCTTATCTGCCAAATACTTAGGGCAGTTCCGCTTCCAGTGACCAGTCCCTTGCAGTATAAGCGCTCAGTCTCAGGCTTGGGTCCATTCTTAGGTTTCTTCCCGGGAGTGACAACTTGCTTGTCAGTCTTTTTGAAGTTCCCTTTCTTTTTACCCTTGTCGTTTTTCTTGAAACTAGTGGTCTTTTCTTGTCGGAAAGACTGACAAGCAAGTTGTGAACATCACTATGCTGATCATATCTACTATATGATTCACGTTCGACCTTTCGGTCTCAAGTGTTCCGAGGCCATATCTGTATATGCTAGGCTCGTCAAGTTTAACCCGAGTATTCCGTGTGTGCAAATCTGGCTTGCACCCAGTGTATTTGAACGTAGAGCCTATCACACCTGATCATCACGTGGCGTCTCAGCACGAAGAACTTTCGCAATGGTGCATACTCGGGGAGAGCACTTATACCTTGAAATTTAGTGAGGGATCATCTTATAATGCTACCGCCGTACTAAGAAAAATAAGATGCATAAAAGATAAACATCACATGCAATCAAAAATATGTGACATGATATGGTCATCATCATCTTGTGCTCATGATCTCCATCACCGAAGCAATGTCATGATCTCCATCGTCACCGGCTTGATACCTTGATCTCCATCGTAGAGTCGTGGTCGTCTCGCCAACCGTTGCTTCTACGACTATCGCTACCGCTTAGTGATAGAGTAAAGCAATTACATAGCGCTTGTATTTCATACAATAAAGCGACAATCATATGGATCCTGCCAACTGCCGATAACTTTTACAAAACATGATCATCTCATACAACAATCTTTATATCACATCATGTCTTTACCATATCACATCACAACATGCACTGCAAAAATAAGTTAGACGTCCTCTACTTTGTTTGTTGCAAGTTTTACGTGGCTGCTACGGGCTGCTAGCATGAACCGTACATTACCTACGGCACAAAAACCACAAGGTGATTTATCAAGTTTGTTGTTTTAAACTTCACAAGGACCAGCCGCAGTCAAATTTGAGTCAACTAAAGTTGGAGAAATAGACACCCGCCAGCCACCTTTATGCAAAACTAGTTGCATGTCTGTTGGTGGAACCGGTCTCATGAACACGATCATGTAAGGTTGGTCTGGGCTGCTTCATCCAACAATACCGCTAAATCAAAATAAGACATTGGTGGTAAGCAGTATGACGATCACCGCCCACAACTCTTTGTGTTCTACTCGTGCATATCATCTACGCATAGACCTGACTCGAATGCCACTGTTGGGAAACGTAGCCATGCAATTTCAAAAAAATTCCTACGCTCATGCAAGATCTATCTAGGAGATGCATAGCAATGAGAGGGGGAGAGTTTGTCCACATACCCTCATAGACCGAAAGCGAAAGCGTTAACTTAACGCGGTTGATGTAGTCGAACGTCTTCTCGAGTCAACCGATCAAGTACCGAATGTACGACACCTCCGAGTTCTGCACGCGTTCAGCTCGATGACGTCACTCAAATTCTTGATCCAGCAAAGTGTCAATGGAGCCGATGAGTTCTGTAAGCACGATGGCGTAATGACGGTGTTGGTGATGTGATCCACCCAGGGCTTCGCCTAAGCACTACGATGATACTATCGGAGGAGTAAATGGTGGACAGGGGCACCGCACACGACTAAGAGAATAATTGTTGTGCTTTGGGGTGCCCCCTGCCCCCGTATATAAAGGAGTAGGGGAGGAGGCGGCCGGCCTAGAGGGGCGCGCCATGGGGGGAGTCCTACTCCCAGTCCGAGTAGGATTCCCTTTCCTTTCCAGAGTAGCAAAGGGAGAAAGGGAGAGGGAGTAGGACAGGGAAAGGGGGGCACCCCACCTCCCCTAGTCCAATTCGGACTCCCCTGGGGGGCACCTCTTGTGGGCTGTCTCCCCTCTCCCCTATGGCCCATGTTGGCCCATTAATTCCCCGGGGGGTTCCAATAACCTCCCGGTACTCCGAAAATCATCCGAAACTCCCCGAAACCATCCCGGTGTCCGAATGCAACCTTCCAATATTTCAATATTTACCTCTCGGCCATTTCGAGACTCCTCGTCATGTCCGTGATCTCATCCGGGACTCCGAACAACCTTTGGTCACCAAAACACATAACTCATATAATATCAATCGTCATCGAACGTTAAGCGTGCGGACCCCATGGGTTCGAGAACTATGTAGACATGACCGAGACACCTCTTCGGTCAATAACCAATAGCAAAACTGGATGCTCATATTGGTTCCCACATATTCCACGAAGATCTTTATCGGTCGAATCGCAATGTCAATATAGTTATTCCCTTTGTCATTGGTATGTTACTTGCCCGAGATTCGATTGTCGGTATCTTCATACCTAGTTCAATCTCGTTACCGGCAAGTCTCTTTACTCGTTCCGTAGTGCATCATCTCGTAACTAACTCATTAGTCACATTGCTTGCAAGGCTTCATTTGATGTGCATTACCGAGAGGGCCCAGAGATACCTCTCCGATACTCAGAGTGACATATCCTAATCTCGATCTATGTCAACCCAACAAACACCTTCGGAGATACCTATAGAGCATCTTTATAATCACCCAATTACGTTGTGACGTTTGATAGCACATAAGGCATTCCTCTGGTGTCCGGGAGTTGCATAATCTCATAGTCGGAGGAATATATATTTGACACGAAGAAAGCAGTAGCAATAAAACTGAACGATCATTATGCTAAGCTAATGGATGGGTCTTGTCCATCACACCATTCTACTAATGATGTGATCCTGTTATCAAATGACAACTCATGTCCATGGCTAGGAAACTTAACCATTTTTTGATCAACGAGCTAGTCTAGTAGAGGCATACTAGGGACACGTAGTTTTGTCTATGTATCCACACAAGTATCAAATTTCCGGTTAATACAATTCTAACATGAACAATAAACATTTATCATGAATAAGGAAATATAAAATAACAACTTTATTGTTGCCTTTAGAGCATATTTCCTTCAAAATGTTGTTACATAAAAAAATGTGTTGTGTTGTACTAATTAGTTTAACGAGCTATCGTGAGAGTGTTTATTAATCTTGCGAGCTTCAAGCTTTTGGTCCAGCCCAACTCCTGTGAATTTTTACGTGGTTTCCTGCCTACCAAATTATACGGGAAGGACTATGCTCCCGTAAATACGAGGGAAGTTGGGAGAAATTCTATGAATCCAGAAAAAAAAGGTTTACATGAGCAGTTGAAGGGTTGTTTTTATCTTAACCTTTCATGGAGTGTAGTTTTTTTTACCAGTACGGGAGCTATTCTAAATGCTCATGAATTCCCTTGAACTATTTTTGCAAAAAAAGCACTTGAACCAAAAGACCCAAATTCTAGTCCTAAATCCTTACTAATTTTCTGACAATACAAAATAATATTTCGTCAAAAATTAAATAGACAAAGCGTGCAATTTAGCAAAAATCAAATTAATTGCAACTCCCTCTGTAAAGTAAACTAATACTGATTTAGAGAGGGAGTACGTTGGGCCGACAGGACCCACCCTAACTGGGCCGGCCACGGCACGGTCCGCCGTGGCACGATTATTAGTCGGGCCGTGCTGTGCCGGCACATGTGCTGTGTCCTCCAGCCTAGGCACGGCCCAGCTAATAAACGGGCCGGCCTGTGGCACGTTTAGCACGTTAGGTTGTATATTTTTTAGCCCGTTGGGCTATTGTTAGGCCTATTGGGTGTATTTTAGAACACACATATATAAAAAATTCTAAATAAATAATTATTTTTGAGACAAATAAAAATAATAACTGTCCATTTCGTGCCGGCCCTGTGCCCAGCTTCCAAGCCCAGACATGACCCAAGGCGTGCCGGGCATGACCCGTTTACCCCGTGCCGTGCCTCGTGCCGGCGTGCTCGCGGGCTGGCCTGTTTGGCCCGGCCCGTTTGGATAGCTTTGGTGTCGACAGAGCAAAAATAAAATAAAAAAATCCATCATCCCCGCGGCGACTTTTCCTCTCCACCGTATCCTCCTCTGCCCTCTGCTGCCCTGCCCTATCTCAAGCTCCAATCCACCGTGCCCTAGACCTGCCGCCGAACGTGCCCTAGCCACCGCCGGCGCCTCCCGCGCGCGGTCGACGTCTCCGCCCCACATCGCCGCGCCTCCGCCCCCGCCCCGTCCGCAGCCTTTGCTTCCCAGGTACGTACGAGTACGAGCTTTCTAGGCGTCGATCCGGTGGTTGATTACTCGATCCCGAACTGACCTAGAGGGATTCCGGGTCTAGATCCGCCTCCGATTTGTTTGGCGACAGGCGCTGTTGCTTTCGTTGTAGAAGGAGGAGGAGGAGGAGGAGGAGGAAGGGGAGCCCTAGCCTTCTAGGGCAAGGCCGAAGCAGATGGGGGCGCCGAAGCAGAAGTGGACGGCGGAGGAGGAGGCGGCGCTCAAGGCCGGGATAGGCAAGCACGGGGCCGGGAAATGGCGCACCATACTCAAGGACCCCGAGTTCAGCAACATCCTGCGCTACCGATCCAACGTTGACCTCAAGGTTCGTTCCTGCGTCCGTTTCATCAGCTGTCAGACCCTGCGCGGTTTATCCGCTCTAGATTGGAGACTCTGATGACTGTTGCCTGCGTGGATGCGTGTTTGCCGACTGTGATTGCAGGACAAGTGGCGGAACATGAATGTCACCGTGAACGCGTCGGGCACTCGCGACAAAGTGAGGACGACGACGACGACGACGCCGCCCACGGCTAAGAAGCCGAGGTCTGCTCCGAAGCAGGAAACCCACTCGACGGCGATCACCACCATCACCTCTGACGGTGATGATGACGTCGTCGACGTGAAGCCTATCATAAAGCCTATTGTGACGTTTACTACAGGTTCAGGGAATAAATCGCTATCCAGGTAGGTGCCCTGTTTGATATACTGGTCTGGAATGCTTGTTTTATGTCCTATGTTCTACCAGTATCTTGAACAGAAACTTGGAAGGTTTTTGACTGCTTTAATGTACCTCTATGGTGCCGTTCCTGCAGGCTAGAAAATATCATACTGGAGGCCGTGAAGACCTTGAATGAGCCTACAGGGTCATACAAAACAGCCGTTGCTAATTACATAGAGGTTTCTATGCTTCTCTTCTGTTTATGGTCTACTTGATCACAATGAAATGCTAACAACAAACCGAATATATGATCCTTTACAAATGCCAAATTTCGTAGTCTTCATTAATAAAACATTACTCATTTACGTCGCTGATCACTTGATATAGTTTTGATAATTATTCAGGCAGTGATGCAAAAAATTCTGGGACAACATAGACATGCAGAAATGATTTCATGATAACTAGTGGCTCCAAAATTCCATTCCATTGTGGCAGAGTTCTACATAATCTAGCTTCTTATGTAGATTGCACCATTCTTAACATAATTTTTCATGTCATGTAGGAACAATACTGGCCACCTGCTGATTTTGATCATGTACTGTCTGCAAAACTGAATGAGTTGACATCATCTGGGAAATTGATGAAGGTAGGAGCATTTCTTTCTATCTTAACTCCATTATTGTAGATTATAAAGAGGTGGGAAAAAGGGTGCCCTGATATAATGTAGCAAAGTCACATTACCATTGTTGTAGGTTGTAGCATATAATTTAAGTCTGATGAAGCTCAATTGAATTGAACTAGGATGTTTTCATATTGTATGTTTACATATTATGTATGGTTTATCATTATATGGATGACTGTGCTTGATATGTTGTGCTCCCCGCATGCATTCACCCTATCAACATGTGCACGAGCACTCTCTGTTCCAAACATTGTTTGCCTGCTATTGGCATCTACTTATCTATTCTATTACAATTGCTTTCAGTGTCGTAACATATCTAGTACAGTAGTACAGTACTTATCTACTCCCTCCGTTCCTAAATATAAGACGTTTTGGCAGTTCAAATTGAACTGCCAAAACAAAGAGATCCAGCAAAAGGTATAATAGTATCTTTATGAAATATAGTATAACATTTTGAATCTTACTAACTACTCACTCTGTTCCTAAATATATGACGTTTTGGCAGTGATATCTTTTGTATGCGCATTTTTCCCCATGGTCCACCTGAAAATTGTAATGTTATATATATTTCTAGTTGGAATGTAAGGTCCCTAAAACCATGAACCTGGATAATCTTTCTATTTTAGCCTTGAAAATTTGTATGTGCACACCTAGATAGACTAGGTTACTCTTTTTAAGAGTATAAGCCATATGCCATGCAGCCCGGTACTAAAGTTTAACAATTTTAGGTGAATCGGAAGTACAGGATAGCCCCTAGCTCATCTTTTTTAGAAGGGCGAAGCTCCAAAATGCTGCTGCTTGATGATATAAAAAAGGAGCCAATCAAGGTAGAGAAGGTAGAGAGGGATGGCTTTACCGCCCACACTAAATCTCAGGTAGATGCCGAACTTGCACGGATGAGAAACATGAGCGCAGAAGAGGCTGCAGCTGCAGCAGCTCGTGCGGTTGCTGAGGCAGACGCTATCATGGCGGAAGCTGAAGCCGCAGTGAGGGAAGCGGAGGCTGCAGAAGCTGATGCTGTAGCTGCACAAGCCTTTGCGGAAGCAGCAATGTTGACATTAAAAAACAGGAGTTCAGCAAAATTGGTAATTCTTCTAAGTACTTAGGCTCTATGTTCAACTGTTTTTATTTGCATGTTTTCAGTTGACATTTTGTTGCTTTTGCATACTGCATTCATATTGATGAGTAAAACATTAAAACACATGGACACACATAGTCAGAATTACTGCTTGTATGAAGCAATTTATAGGAAATGGGCACTTTAGAATCGTGAAAAGAACTATGTTATCTGCTCAGCAAATCCTGAACGCCCTTCATACTTACATGCAGATCATTCGAGGTTGAGACATCTTGTGGGAGCTGCTTCAGCGTCCGCATTCCTCTGACCTTGTTGTGCGCGCGTGCATGCCTGCTGAATTCCAGCGCAAACTAACTGATGCTTTGGTGTTACTGGAGCCTTTTGAGCTGATGGCAATGCCGATCTGTTATTTGAATTCAAGCAAGCTCATCCTGTTCAAGCAGCGCAAACTTGCTTGGTTTTCTGACTTGCACCTTGAAGCTAGTTACCTTTCTCCCTCATGCGGGTTTGCCGAGGGATGGAGGAAGACCAACTCATATTTAACTCCCACATGGCAGAGCCGTAAATGGGATCTGCACAGGCTGTGGGATGATGAGAAGTCCAATAAATATAGATGATGGTCATTCCATCTTTCTGGACCCTTGTTGCTGTCATGGTTTAGGTCACTGCCATGTTGGAATTTTATTCACCATGTGTTGGATTACCTTACCTTCCTTTTGCGGTGAATCTTCCGAATGAATCGTGCCATTCAGTTTGCCGCTTGTCTGTCTGGTCTACCCCAGGTCAAGGTATTTGGTACAGAATAATCACAGTGTCTATAGAATTTATTCATGTATTCAGTCTGTATAAGTTTGCCAGGCCAAAATAGTTGGCAATATAACATGTTTTGGTAGGCCAAATTCACTCAATATTTATCTTGGTATTGTACCGGTACTTTGAAAATAACGCAGTTGTACATCCGCGGATCCAACATCTACCAATCTTTGATATTGGTAAACTTGGGTGGCATATGCGTCTTGGTTCAGCCCAAAGTTTCTTGAATTGTACAAAGCGCACACATGCTTTTTCAATCCGTGTGATTGTTTACCAGAGAATCGTTGTTATTCTCCATGGAATACAGCTGGACGCTGACAGTCACCAATTCACTGCACTTTCCTGTATAGGATCATATATATAGCGTGGATTTGCAAACAAATATACAAACATATTGCATGTTTAAGGATTTGCTCGGAAACACTATAATTCATATATACGAAACGGCAGCAAAAAGAAAGGGAAGCACGTTCTAAAAGCCGCAAATCAAAACATTGGTGAGTCAGAAGAAGAAAACATAGCGATGAAGTGCAACGTATGACTGCGAGTTAACATCTGGTGCCGTTGGAGCAATTGAAACACGGCCGAGTTGTTCATTGGCGCCTTGGCGGGTCATCTGCCGCATGCCACTGACGCGGGGACGACAGTTTTACATTGACAGATAGTGCAACTCTGATGAGCTAAGAGCATCTCCAACGGGCCGCGCGATATATGCGCGGCGTTGGGAAAATAGTATTTTTTTTGCGCGCGCAGCCGCTCCGGGCGCTCGAGTGGAGACGCAAAAAACGCGCGCGCGATATAATTGGTTCAGCGCGCGGGGCGAAACGGCATCCCGCTTATTTCGGTGCGCTTGCTCCCGCGCGTTGCACAATCGAGCGCCCGCTCCGCTTTTGCCCCGCGCGCGCCGCTGCCAGTGAATTCGCCCGATGGAGAGCCGCGCCGACATCCCCTCACCCCTTCCTACACCCGCGACCCCGCCGCCGCTGGCGCAAACCCTAGCGCGGGAAGCTTTGGCTTCGCCTCCACCGGTGTTCCTCCAAGCACCGCTCTCGCTTGCGGCCTTTTCATGGCGCCACGGACGACCTTGGCGGCGGGTGGCGTCGCGCCAGCGCTCGCCATGAAGCCATGTGCCCGGGAAGGAGAACAAGGCGGCGGACGACTCCTCTAGGCGGCTGAAGAAGAAGTTTGCAGGGCGTGCGACAGATGCGGCAGCGACCGAAGCGCCGGCGAGCTTGCTTGTTGCGCTGGCGGCCTATGCGAACAAGGTGTTCGATGAAATGCCCACAAGGTAAAATTTCGCCCACTTTTTTGTGTTGTTTTTTGAATGCACACATATGGACAACTTATTTGCTTTGTTGTATATACTTTGTGGTTTCAATGATGAGACATATATGTCAACTATGAGTGTTGGCTCCAACAACTCTCATTGGTCCCCAAACCAATGATGTGCATTTCATTGATCATGAGTTTGAGTTGGACGAGGATGGTGAGGGTATGTTCGATGCACCGAAAGGAAGAGCGGACAACTACACCATGGACGAAGACATCTTCCTATGCAATACATGGTTGCAAGTGTCTAGGGATGTCATCGTTGGAGGGGATCAAAGTAGAGATGCATATTGGATCCGGATGAAGGAGCACTTTGATTTACACAACAAAAGTGGAATCGAACACACGGAAAGATCTCTTCGCTCCCGGTGGTCGACAATCAACAAAGATTGTCAAAGGTGGGCGGCCGCACTTAAGGAGGTTGACACGTTAAACCCAAGTGGAAGTAATGATAGTGTCGTGGAATTGTCACAACAGATGTCCTAGTGAAAGGACTTAGTCGTGGAGCCATCGCAACTAGGAAGCTTGAAGGGGTTAATCGGGACAAAGGACACGAGGTTTATACTGGTTCGGCCCCTTACGGTGAAGGTAAAAGCCTACGGTCCAGTTTTGAGTGGGATTGCTTATGTCTCGATAACCAGGGAGCGAATCGCTGACCTAGCTCTCGAGTTGATGTTACTTGCCCTGAACCGCCGCCGGGTCGTCCCTTTATCTACAGAGGCCGACGCCCAGCGGCTCTAAAGAGTCCCTGCCGACTCATAAACAGTGTCCGGCTCGGTCTCTTAACTATTCTTGCCTTACAATACAAGTCACGCACACTACGGGCCTTAAGTCGCCTCTGGGCCATGTGCCTTTAACTAAAGCGCCATCCATAACCTGGGTCTTGGGCTTCACGAATATTTGCAAGTATGACTCGGCCCCTCCTGGGTGGGTCATACCAATAGTTATATCCCCAACATTAGGCCCCAGATTGATTTGAACTGGTTTTCATGTTAATCTTCGACACTTAAGGAAAAAAATCTTTTGCCTTTATGAATTTTTTTGTAACCCGCCATGACGTCATCTTCTGGATTTGTGGTAACCCGCCATGACGTCACCTGTCATAAAAGTGCATTTTATCCAACATATCCCAACGGATCTTTGTCTCGGTAACCATCCCGAAAATCGAGGCGTCCTTGCAGTTGAATAACTCCTGTTATCGGCCTCCTCGTTTTTCGCGCTCTTTAGTGGCCCTTATAAATAGACCCGGCTAGGTCTTCCTTCATTCTTCCCATTCCACATCTTCTTCCTATCGCCCCCATCTGTTACTGGAGCTTCGCCGCCGTCGCCACAACGCACCTCATCTTCGTCGAGCTTGGCCACTGCATCGACCTGACCTTGACCAGAGAACGGCAGCATCCCTCCTCCGCAAATCTTCCGCAGTAAGTGTTTCCCCTTTCTGCGCCATAGATCTATGCTAGGGCTTGCATGTTCTTCAGTACCGCGCGCAGTTCATCTGAGTTCTTGTGTTCCACCTGCTATGGCTTCTTTCGATCTAAAGACCCCATAGATCTTATGTGGTACGTGTTCCGCATCCATTTTGGGTACCAGTAGATCTCCTTTCCATGCAAGAAAACCCCATTATAGCGCATGAACTCCTCGGCGCCCTATTTTAGGTCTAGTAAATTATCTTTTCCGAACATCTGTTTGATCCAAAATAACAGCTGCAAATTGTGAAACCTATTTGTACAACACTTAAGCAAAATCTGCACTTGTTAGATTTATCTAGTCATGGCGACTTTGATCGCCGGTTTTAAGGGAGCAATGCTCAATTAATAACTTGAACCACCCTTGGCGGTTTAAATAGTCTTGACGGCTTATAGAGCTTATGGCGCTTAACTAACCAGGACATAATTATCCTTATACCATTAGGCCCCTTTGTAAGCCGCCATTTTGAATATGCACAGTAATATTTTTGTCCTGTCCGGCTTAAATTTGAACCGACACTTTTACTTTGTCTTAGGCTTTCAATCAGAATGGCACCCAAGGCACCTACCGCCTGCAACTGGGTTAAATCCATTGTCACTGACATCACCTTGGATGACTTTGTGAAGACCGGCTATCTGCCGAAAAAAGAAGTCATGCCTTATCGTGCTCCTAACCCGGATGAAGAATTTCCTCAACCCAAAGACGGAGAGGTTGTTGTTTTCACAGATCATATGAACCGGGGATTTACTCCTCCCGGCTCAAAATTCTTCAGGGATGTGCTGAATTTCTTTGATCTTCACCCACAAGACATCGGACCCAATTCCGTGTCTAATATCTGCAACTTCCAAGTATTCAACGAAGTATACCTTGGTGAAGAACCCAATTTGCTACTTTTCAGAGAACTGTTCTATTTGAACCGCCAGACTGAATGTGCCAGCGGCCAGAGCTTAGAACTTGGCGGAGTCTCGATCCAGCACCGCAGGGATGTGATATTTCCTTACGCTAACCCGCCAAGCCACCCCAAAGATTGGAATATGACATGTTTTACTGCAAAGATACCTCTCCGGCTGATGAAACCCTCTGCCCGGCTTTCATGCCCTTCGTCTTGGGACCAACCATCCTCTGCCTCACAAGATTACAGCCACGGAACATAAATCACTTGCTTCTACTTTGGCCAAGATCAAGGCTCTGCTGGGGAACGGGCTGACATGCATTGACCTGGTCCGGGTTTGGCTCGCCTGGCGGGTTATTCCATTGAGCCGCCATACCGGCTTGATGTGCGAATACACTGGCGCCAAGAATGATCCTCTGCGTCACAGCCCCGACGACATGCTTGACGACGTCATTAACGACATGACCAAGTCTCTTCTGAATGAGAGTCTGGCGGATTGCGGCAAGGTGGGCCTAGCTCCCTTCTTC